AAAGGCTTCAAACTTGAAGGCTTCAAACTTGAAGTGCCACCCCCATTTCACTTGTTCCTCCTGTAGATTCAGCTCAATTTTGATAGGTATGTGATCTAACACCCATCTATCCAGATGATAGACTCTAGCTTCTGGGAACTCAGTCCTCCATTCTGAATTAGCAACAGCTCGATCAAGCCTTTGCTCAAGAAAATCTTCATAAATTTTTCCATTGTCCCATGTGAACATGTTCCCATGATATCCTAAATCCTCCAGGTGACATTCATCTAGTGTTGCTTGGAAATCTTCCACATAACATCCATGGTGGATTTCTGCCATTCTTCTCTTCATAGCTTAACACTTGATTGAAGTCTCCACATAACATCCATGGTAGATCAGATTGACCATGGAGCCGCTTTATCATGTCCCAAGTTTGAGGCTTGTTTTCATGTTCTGGCCAACCATAAATCCCTGTCAGCCTCCATTTCTTTCCCTCTGTTCCCTCAGTAATCAAAATATCAATGTGATTCTGAGTTGCTGCCTTGACTTCAACTTGCAGCTCCTCTTTCCACATCATTATCAATCCACCTGCTCTGTTTCTCGATCCCACCCCTTGTCCTTTTGTCCAGCCCAATTTCTGAATCGTTGCCTCCCATTCATGTTCTTTTCTCTTTGTTTCCATAAGAAACACAATGTTGGGGTCTTGCTCATTCAGTAGCTCAGCTACTCTGGCAACTGTCGTGGTTTTCCCCAGCCCACGACAGTTGTAGCTGATGATGTTCATTGGGCTGGGCGGCCCTGCTCTTTTGCAGGGTCCGCCATTCCGCCATCCATGATCATTGGTTGTCCCACAGTGTTCAGTCTCTCTACTTCCTTCTCAAAAGTAAGAACTTTTGTTTTTTTGCTCTTAAGTGTTTCATCTCCCTCTCCTACTTCCATCTCTGTACATTCCTTTTCTGCACTTTTCTGTTGTGTTATTTGTGTTTTTACTTGGAATCTTGGCATAGTCTGTTCCTGCCTTCTCCAAACCCTGTTCATGCTTCTTTTTGGTGGCCAGGTGTTGTTTGTACCTAGAACAAATTGTTGCAGTGCCCCACCCTGACCTATTTTTGCTGATTTAGGACCATAAGTTGTTCCCTCTATTCCTTGCTTCTGCATTTTCCTTTCGATGTCAGTTGTTTGTTGGACATTTACTTGAGGGGTTGTTGGTGTCCCCGAGCTCTCTTTTAGGACCAGTGGAGAGTGCATTTTCTTATGTGTTTCATCTTTGCCATGTTCTCCTGTCACTCTATTTTCTGGTTCCTTTTCTTCTGGCATTATCTGTGTAGCCTTTGTAATAGCTTCAGGTTCTGCCATCTCTTCAGATGGTGCTCTTTCACCACAAGAATTAGAACTGACACTTTCCATGTCAAACTTCTTTCTCAGGGATGCCCATAGTTCAACATCCTCCCTCTTTGATGAGTGTGATAGCCAGTTTCGAGGTCCAGGGGGACTCGTTCGGAGGTCCATTCCAAAAGGGTCAGGTACCAGGCCTGATGGTTTGGGGCACCTCAACTTTGGATGGCCTATTCTCCCACATGAGTAGCAGAACATTGGGAGTTTCTCGTACTTCACCAGGTAATCCACCAACTTTCCTCCTATATTCAGTTTAATTTTCTTCTTTAGAGGGTTGTCGATGGATATGCTGACTCTCATTCGCATGTAAGTATCCCAAATAGTGCCAGAACTATCATCAAACCATACTAGAGAACCAAATCTGTTTGCAATCTTCTCTGCCATGTTCTGAGTTCTCAACTCGGCAGTGAATTCTTTGATTTGAATCCAAATATCAATCATATGTAGCGCCTCAGGAGTTGGTTTCTTGATAAGCAAGCTAGATTCAAAAACCATGATATTGTTTTCATAATGCCAGGGGCCTCCGAAGCAGACCTTGTTTCTGTCATCCTGGTCCAAGAATTGGAACGCAAATAGCATATCTCCCAGGTCAGTAATCTGGAAACCTTTCTTTAGATTCCAAGCCTTAGCCAAGGCTATTTTTAGTGATCTGATGTTTGGCTGTTTATCAGCTAACAGGCGACCAATCAGACCCAGTTGTCTGACAGCTTCCATTCGGAGAACATCTACATCACCATCCTCCACATCCAGCGGTGTATCATCCTCATCATCTAGGTTTATCTTGTCCAGATCTATCTCTAAGCTTTCCGCAGTGCTTCGCAGTTCTTCAGGTTCCACGTTGACATCCTCCTTCCCGTTTCCAGCAGGCTGTAGCTCTTCCATTGTTTCGCTAAGACTCAAGCAGCAGGCCCAAGTTTCAGCAGTAGAGAAAAACTTGAAAAACTTTAGGGTTTGCTTTCTTCACGTTTCTGTTGCTTCAAAAAACTCCTTCGGGATTCCTTTATATGATTGTATGACACAAGTACTACGTAGGTAGAGACACTCTTTCCAGGCACCTCTATTCCTTTTGGGGGTAGAGATCCTTGTTCGATCAGTAATCAATAGCCTTCTTCACCTTGGAAACCTAGGAAAAACCCTAGCTCCGCCGCTCCGAGACTCTCGCTAAACGAGAGAAAAAATCCGGAGCCAGGAACTTAGGTAAGGGGGGCCGATAAAAATTTTGAAGTAAGAGTTTATTATGTTATTTATAATTCAACACAAATTATCAAAATATTGACACATAGAAGTTTATTTTTAACTAATAAATGAAAACGTTTGGTACGAAATCGCACATGCATAACTTGGGATTAAGAAGCAAAATTTCATGAATTTAAACGATTCATGCAAATTTTGGATACCAAATCGTAAGACAATGGGCAAAATATGTTCCAAAATGAAAAATAAGGTACCAAATCGTAAGGAATGCAAAATTTGAGGTAAGGAAGCAAAATTTTACAAAATGAAAAGTAAATATTGACACATAGAAGTCTATTTTTAACTAATAAATGAAAACGTTTGGTATGAAATCGCACATGCATAACTTGGGATTAAGAAGCAAAATTTCATGAATTTAAACGATTCATGCAAATTTTGGATACCAAATCGTAAGACAATTGACAAAATATATTCCAAAATGAAAAATAAGGTACCAAATCGTAAGGAATGCAAAATTTGAGTTAAGAAGCAAAATTAAAAGTAGCAACCAGTAGTTGTCGAACCTGGAACTTTTCCTTTAAAAACAAAGCTACACACCACTAGACCACATCTTGTTTAGTATTACTAGACGTTCAAAGTCAGATTTTAATATTTCCCCCTGCTTACACACTAGCTCCGTCCCTGCGTCCAAAAACTTAACAAATAAAATTACATAACCTCCTTTCTAAGTCGTCGATGTGCTCCCCGACCACCACCACCAATCCGCCGCCACATAAATCGTCCCTTCAAAACTGCTGACCTTCTCCATCTGCCACAGCCACCCAATTCGGCCGCTTGATCCACCGACGCCGTTGTTGTCCTCTGTAGTGACCTTTCTCCTCCGTCGTAGAGGGGTTGTTTCCACCAACAAAAACGTCACCGACCCTTCTACCCAGTCGGCTGGGTTCAGGTGGGAATTCCCGTTCACTAAGAGGGGTTGTGGTTAGGCCTGTCTATTTGGTTTCGGGTTTTCGGTTTAACCCGAACCCGAACCAATATAAACAGAGTCGGTTTCGGTTTTTTCGGGTTCAACCCGATACACATAGCAGCGGTTTCGGTTTACCAAAACCCGCAAAACCGAAAACCCGCAAAACCCGATAGCATCGCACGCTGTCGTCGTTCAGCCCTACCCTAGCCTTCAGCCATTCCGTCGCCGTCTCTTCGATTTTGGAAAACGAAACAGAGGACAGAGCCTCCTCGGCCCTCGCTTCAGCCCTTCACCTCGTGTCGTCTCCGCCATCATCGTCCTCGCCGCGCCGCCATCATCGCTTCAGCCCTTCACCTCGTGCCGTCGCCGCCATCATCGTCCTCGCCGCGCCGCCATCATCGTTCACCACCATCAAGTATGAACTTCGCTCTTCGCCTCTGGGTTCGAAGCTTCTGTTCCTCCAACTGCAGGCACCGGCGGCCGCTAAGGATACACTCCTACGACCAACCAAAGACGAAAACCAATTTCAGAAACAGGGGGATTGCAACAAAATAGACTTCAAAGGTTAACTCCAGACCTTCAATTCGATGGGTGGGATTGATCAATTTGTGGTGGTGGTGGGTGGTGGATGATATTATTCCAGAGATGGGTTTGATCTATCTCCTCCAATCTCCCTCAGACTCTGCATGCGCCAAACAAGATAAGAAACCTCCCGTACCTTAGGTTGACGATTCCAGCAGCTGAAATTCTTCACCTCCGACGGCTCGCCTCCGCGTTCGTTTGAGAAAACTGGAGAGCGATTGACGAAATTGAAAGAAGGGGTTCGCTTATTGACGAACAAGAGAAAGGAAGGAAGAAAAAGGGGGAGAGGCGAAAAGGAGAAGGCGAAGAAGAAAGGAAAACCTCGAAGAAAAGCCAACCGAAAAGGAGAAGAGGAAAAGAAAAAAAACCCAGAAACCACCAGTGATTTTTTCGGGTTTCTGAACCCGCAACCCGCAAAACACAATTTCGGTTTCGGGTTTGTGGGAGCCGGTTGCGGTTTTCGGTTTTTTGCGGTTTTCGGGTGCGGTTATCCGAACCGAACCGACCCGACAGGCCTAGTTGTGGTAAGGTGGAGGACACTGAAGATGTTGTAATTATATGATAGTATGTTGTGTTATATGATCATGGTAGTAATGGTTATATAATTATGATACAAAAAATTATGCTTTGGTGCTTGGTGAATTGGTGGAGAGGATGGCGGAGGCAATGGAATGATAGTGATGGTGGTTAGTAGCGTCGGTGGCGAGTAATACGAAGAGTCAATTTTGAAGGATTGTATTTGTTATAATAAAATATCTTTAATAATAAAAAAGAGAAGGATAGAGAGGGAAATTTAACTTTTTAATTAAGGGCAATTATAGTTTGATTAGGGCGACAATTAGCAACCCTCACAAAGACGCCGCCGGTATCGAGGTCCAAAACGCGGGGACGGCGAGAGGTGGCTCCCCCGGATCGAGGATCCCCGTGTACAGGGCCTGAACGGCGGCGGGATGCCGGAGCTCCAGCATCCTTGCGGCGTTCGACGACGCGATCGGCCGACGGAGTCGACATTCTGTCGGTCTCCCTCGGCGCCCCTTCATCTTTGATGCTGCCGGATTTCAAAGACGACACGATCTCCATCGGAGCGTTCCACGCCGTTGAGAGCGGGATAACGGTGGTCTGCTCTGCCGGCAACGACGGCCCTGACTCTTCCACCGTCGTGAATGCGGCGCCCTGGATTCTGACCGTGGCTGCGACGACTATTGATAGGGATTTTCAGTCCGACGTCGTTTTAGGTGGAGGCAACGTCGTCAAGGTAATTGCCGTTTTTTCCCATGTTTATTTAATTTTTTTTTTGGTAGCAACCCTATCTCCCCATGTTTATTTAGATAATAATTACGAAATACTGTTATTATATTTTTACCCGTAATCCAGAATATTGTTTCCAAGTTATAACTTACAAGCGATTAAGCAACTAACAAAATACATACTCTGGTAGCAGTAGCACTACAATTTCAAGATAATGATTTGAGAGACACTTTAGTAATCCTTTTTTCTTTTTAACTTAACATTGCAATGGTTACTTGGGTTAATACCTTAGTTTGACCTGAATTATACAAATACTTTCTACTTTGGCCTGTGGTATTGGAAATTGCTATTCTAGTCTGAACTATGTAGCAAAGCTCACTGCCATATCAGCTTTGAGGATATAATTTTTTTTTTATTTCCGAATTTTGTTTTCTGGTCATTTGCTAAAAATGGGCCCTTTTTCGTTCTTTTAATTAATAGAAAGACCACAAAATTCAGAAATAAAAAAATAATTTTTTATGTCCTCAAAGCTGACGTGGCAGGTGAGGTGGACATTGACTAACGGTCAATAGGTTTGACCGTCTAATTTGACGTTCAAACCCGCCTCCCGGCCAAATGAGGAAGTTTGTTACATAGTTCAGGCCAGAATAGCTATTTTCAATACCACGGGCCAAAGTAGAAAGTATGTGTATAGTTCAGGCCAACCTAAGGTATTAACCCTTGTTATTTAGGGTGAAGCCATAAATTTCTCGAAACTTCGAAAATCTCATGTGTACTCGTTGACATACGGTAAGACGATTATGAGATTTGATACATCCGAATTATATATAAGGTAGTATTCAGTCATTTTCTACCATTACTTAACTTTTTTTTATGTAGTTGCTCTGGAACAACTAATAATAAATTAATTCGTTGTGTTTTACTTTTTGTTCAGAAACTGCGTTCCTGGTTCCATAGACAAGGCTAAAGTGAATGGAACCATCGTTTTGTGCGAGAACAAAGATCCAGATTACCCAGGTTTTGGGAAGGTATTAGAAATACAGTATAATGGAGGAGTAGGTGTAATTTTTATTGATGATTTGAAAAGAAGAGTTGCTTCTACTTTAAAGGATTTTCCAGCTGTAGTAATCAGCTCCAAAGATGCTGCTGAAATCCTTTCTTACAACTCAACCAAGTAAGGCGTCTCAAGGATTAACTATACTTTTAGTAGAGATATAGAGCAACCCTCTGATTAATTAACATGAGCAATCTCATCAGAAACCCTGTTGCAACAATTCTAGCTACCGTGGCAACTCCCAAGTACAAACCGGCACCTGAGATTGCATACTTTTCTGCCAGAGGTCCTTCCCAAAATTCAGAAAACCTCATCAAGGCAAGAGAACCCCATATGTGAATATAAAAAGACTAATCAACCAAACCTCTGGCTCTATATACTGACAATCTGCTTTTGAAACTTTACAGCCTGATATTGCAGCACCCGGAGTTAACATTCTAGCCGCTTGGATGGGCAACGATTCAGATATCGCACCTCAAAGCAAGGACCCATCGATGTTCAATGTAATCTCTGGAACTTCCATGTCTTGTCCTAACGTGTCAGGCGTTGCAGCAGTGGTTAAATCGCACAACCCTTCGTTCGGCCCTTCTGAGATCAAATCCGCCATTATGACAACAGGTTCAGATCGAAACTACTGTCCTAATCAAAGTTTCAGTCTTCGTTGTTTGGAGCTTACAGGAAAATCACGTTAAACTCTTGTGTTCTTTATGTTTTCGTATGTTTTGACATCTTCAACCACGCAGCATCACAACTGAACAACGACAAGTCGCCAATAACAACACACTTCGGGGCAACAGCCACGCCCTCGACTATGGTGCCGCAGAGATGAGCCCAACAGCGCCGCTACAGCCGGGGCTAGTGTACGAGACCACCCCGTCGACTACCTCAATTACATGGAGGTAGTCGACGGGGTGGTCTTGATGGTGGTGGTGTTGTATCCGTGGTAGCACAGGAAGTTGAGGTAGTCGACGGGGACTCCACCCCCGACCTCATCTCGGACATTAACTACCCTTCAATATCGGTCAAGGTCGACAAGAAACAGAGTAGGAACGTCAGCAGGACATTGACAAACGTCGCTACTGGCGATGGCAATTCAACGTACACCTTATCGACAAGCATCGGTGGCAAAGGTGGAAGTACATGTCTCTCCGTCTCAGCTGAAGTTCACGAAGGGATGCCAGAAGCCGACTTACTATGCGATGTTTTCGACCATGGCTGGTTCGTTGGTTGAAGGGGATGTGTTTGGGGCAATTACATGGAGCAGCTCCAAGTTAAAAGTCAGGACTCCATTTGTAGTGAGAAGCACATCATACTTCTAATGTAATAACCGATCAGAAGTAAAAATAAGTTCTCAATTACCTCTACATAGATATAACAAGCATACAATAACGAAACCTTGCGAAACACCATTATTAAGTCGTGATCAAACCAAACCAGCTTAATCATCGCTACATGATTTAACCCGTACATTATTAACAAACAGCCTTTACATCAAAAGCTTATTGAGAAACGAACAATAAAGATTTCCTGGCAAACAGATGATGCAAGAACACTTAAGAAGCTACTACCATGGATGCAGATTTGGAACCAAAACACACGACCAACGAGATTGTCCATTGTAACCGTTTCCTGTATGAACAATCAACATGGAGTAGCTAGAAGCCATAGCAAGGAAAGACGGATAATTTAGTAAACAGGACACTGAACACATAAAAGCCAGATTCATATCAGACCAATTAGGAAACAGAGAAAGTTATATCACAAGTTCACATAGATCTGAGAGACGTCTGGAGGGGATCATTGTGTGTTCATGGAGGGGATAATTTAGCAAACAGGACGCTGAACACATAAAAGCCATATTCATATCAGACCAATTAGGAAACAGAGAAAGTTATATCACAAGTTCACATAGATCTGAGAGACGTCTGGAGGGGATCATTGTGTGTTCATGGAGGGGAAACAAGGATAGAGAGGCTGAAAGCTGGAAGTACAAATTTAAAAACAGAGAGACATTCTGGAGAAAGAGCGGTGAAAGGAATCACTCGAAGGCCCATTGGTTCTCCCTACGAACTTCCTCTTCTTCCTCCGGTGTGAAGTCGTTCTTGATGTTGAAGGTCTTGCGGATTTCCTCTGGAGTTTTCCCTTTGATCATGTCAGCCACCGTCTGGCAAGTTAGGTCCAGCAAACTCTTGATGTTGAGATAGTTTGCAGCCTGCACAGAGAAAAGACCACAAACCCAACAGAGTTCAACCCATCATCAGTATTCTCTTTAAGTCTATTATAGCTAGTTTAACCTAATGTTGACACTTTACAACCCTAACTGTTCAAAGCATAAAGATAGAAGTCAACAATCTGAATCCCTAATCCATTGGTTCATCTTTCTCAAAATGAACAATTGAAAGTTCACCCCAAATTAGGGGATCCCCAAACCCTAACCCTAGAAATCAAATTTCAACCAATCAAACGCACAAATCAGGAAAATCAACCAATAGTAATAAACCAGAGAAGAAATCTAAGCGTGTTCGATAAAAGGAGGAGACGGTTACCAGGATCAGGTCGAAGAGAGTGGCCTGGTCGACCTTGACGAAATCGGCGTCCCAGGTCTTGAGATCGTCGTCAGCGGAGGAAGGGCGTTCCTCGGTCTTGGAAGCGGCGGCCTCGACGTGCTTCTTGCAGTACTCGATGACCTTGGATAGGATCTTGCTGGTGACGTTGGGTAGAGGGATCCCGTTGTCAGCGCAGTCGTCCTCGATCATGTGCTTGATGGTCTGCGACTCCAGCGCCACCGCCTCATCAACCTCGAACGTCTCACCGTCGGAGCTCTTCAGAGTGATCTTCCTAATCGCCGCCGACATCTTTGCGTTTTCCCTGGATTCTATCGGCGAGCAAGGTTTTTCCTCCGATCGAAGAGAGAGAAAACTTAGATGTAAAATGGAAAGAGAGAGAGAGCTTTTTTTTCCTCGCTTTCCTGAGGGTAATAGAGAACGGTGAGGAAGATAAGAGGGCTATTTATGGACGTATTTTTATTTTGCGGGAGAATAGATTAAAATCCTTTTCCTTGTTGAATAATGGTAAGAAAATAATTATTATTCCGAATAAGACAAAGGGTTAATTACTTAATCGTAACAGCGATTTGTGACCTTACTATGGGCAAGTAATTTCCACTGATCCGACGGCTAACCATATCCTAAGTTCCATTGCTTCATACACGTATCAACCGCTGGATTAGCTAGATTATCTGTTTTCGTAACTGTTAGATTTGTAAATGACACTCCTGAAATGACATACAAATATGCAGGGGCGGAGCTAGGATCTAGTGGTCGGGGGGCCGGACTTTATTGTATAATATTCGTAAAAAAAATTAAGAAAATATTTACATTGTGAGTCATAAGCTTCAAAATTTAATTATCTAGACTCCAAAAATTAATTATCTAAATAAAAAAAAATATTATAACCTCCAAAATTTCATTATCTAGTTTGAACTTTGAAATTAAAAAGTATTTGAATAAGTACAAAAGTTAAGTGATCAATCTAAATTTTAAACAAAAATTCAACCAAAGTAGGAAAATTAAAAAAGCAATGTTGCTGCCAAGGATTGAACCATGGTACTAGGTATTCACAAATACCAAGCAGTTGCATTCCATTAGACTAGACCCAAACATTGTTGCTCATTATTGCACGTTATTGTTATTCTACAATAGTTAACTTCTTCAGAATTTTCAAAATTCCCGATATTTTTACACGCGATCTCCAAAATTCTCGGGGGGGCCGAGGCCCCCCTGAGGCACAAGGTAGCTCCGCCCCTGCAAATATGTACATTCGTCAACCCCACGCGAGACTCGTATCAAACGTCGGATTAGCTAAATTATCTATCTTCGTAAGTTGTAACTGTTAGATTGGTAAGTGATGCTCATGAAATGACATACAAATACATACATTCGTCAAACTCAAGTGTGTGAAAGTTTGAGAATGGATCGGATTTGTGGTCAAACCCGCAAGGGGCTCTTTGCCTCAAGAGCTGGAATATATACTGCGAGTTAACTCGCTTCTGTACAATCAGTTTAATTACAACGGATATAAACGGAATCAAGGCTAACTACCAATCAGAAAGTAACACGTGTTATGTATAGTATATTAGTATTAATTGAAACGAACTAAACACTGAATGGAATGCCATCGTTTCTTCACCAGCTCCTCAACTGCTTCTGGTTAAAACGTCGCCGTGCCACAAGCTCTTCAGTGTTCATCGAACAGAGTCATCCCCTGCAGTCATTCCCAGGAACATCACCTTCTCTAATATGCCCCCTCAAGCTGACATACATGTCATGTATGTTCAGCTTGGATAACAGATGCTCCAGACGATGTCGACTCAACCCCTTGGTGAATAAATCAGCAATTTGGTTTTTTGTTTCAAGGTGGTTGAGTTGTATAAGCTTGGACTTCAAGAATTGACGAACAATGTGACAATCTATCTCTATGTGTTTCGTTCTTTCATGAAACACTGGATTCTCAGCAATGTAAATTGCTGATCGATTGTCACAATAAACTTCTAAAGGCTGAGCATGTTCAATGTGGAGTTCCTGTAGAAGTCTTTTCACCCAAACGACTTCACATGTAAGCTGAGCCAAAGCTCTATACTCAGCTTCAGAGGAGGATCGAGATACTGTTACCTGCTTCTTTGACTTCCATATAATCAATGCTCTTCCAGGGAAACACAGTATCCTGTCGTTGAGCGCCTTGTATCTGGGCATGAAGCCTAATCAGAGTCATTGAACCCCCTAAGTTGGATATCAATTTAGAGGGATAAAACAATCCCTGTCCTGGAGCATTCTTAAGGTATTTCAGAATCCTGTAAGACAGCTGCAAATGTGTCATAGTAGGTGCAGCTTGATACTAGCAAAGTTGCTGGACAGCAAATGTTAAATCTGGTCGAGTAATGGTGAGGTAGTGAAGTCGACCAATAATCTTCCTGAAAAGTGTCCCATCCTCAAGTAATGGTCCATCATCAACACTTAATCTGGTCTTCATGTCTATAGGGGTGATTACAGGCTTGGAATCTGCAAAGCCAGTGTCTTCCAACAAGTCTGTGCAATATTTCTTCTGACATATGTATAATCTCCCCCGTGATCGAGCAATTTCCAGACCCAAGAAATAGTGAAGTGTGCCGAGATCACGAATCTTGAACTGAGATTGTAAGAACTGCGTAAGTGCTGCCATGGCTTGATCATCATCCCCAGCAATGATGATATCATCAACATACACCAGTAAGATAGAAATTCCAGAACTCTTGTTGTGGTGAATAAACATAGAGTAATCACTGTTAGATTGAGTATAACCAAAGCTTATAAGGGCAGAAGTAAGCTTTGCAAACCACTGCCTTGAAGCCTGTTTTAAACCATAGATGGATTTTATGAGACGACAAACCTTACCTGGTTCTGAAATACCAAGAGGAAGATCCATGTACACCTCTTCTTGAAGGTCACCATGCAGAAATGCATTGCTGACATCCAATTGGGACAGTTTCCAATTCTTTGCTGCAGCCAAAGCCAGCAAAGTCTTGACAGAGTTGAGCTTGGCAACTGGGGAGTATGTATCAAGGAAATCGATTCCATAGATTTGTGTGAATCCTTTAGCCACCAACCTGGCTTTGTATCTTTCTATGGAACCATCAGGATTAAACTTAATGGTAAAGACCCACTTGTTGCCAATAGGTCTCTTTCCACTAGGACAATCCACTGTATCCCATGTGTAATTAGCTGCTAGAGCTTTAAGTTCCAAGTTCATAGCATCTCTCCAACATTTGTACTGCATTGCCTCTTCAAATGTCTTAGGGATCACAATAGTCTCAATTGCACAAACATACTTCTTGTATCCTGGAGTTAATTGATCATATGATAGACAGGAAACCAAAGGATACCTCTGCTTGTCAATGCTTGAGTTTACATGCATAACAAAATCATTGTATTTCACAGGTTTGATTAGGATACGAGAAGGCTTTCTAAGTGCAATGGGAAGTGTAGAAGGAGAGGTTGGCAGGGTGATAATAGGTGCTGGAGAGGGAGTTTGCACTGGAGATGGAACAGAAGGAGTAGGAGAAGTTTGAGTTGGAGTAATGGGAGTTGGAGAAGGAGGTGTCACAGTCTCTTGGACTGGGAAAGGAGTTTCTGGAATTGGAGTTTGAGTAGGAGGTTCAGGAAAGGAGGAGAAAAATGGTTGATCTGTGAAATTTGGTTGAATAGGAGTTTGGTCACGTGAAGCAGAAGTACTAGGAGAATCAAGACAAGGAATGATATTCTCATGGAAAGTAATATCTCTAGAGTAGAAAACTTTCTGTTCTGTGAGATCAAAGAGTTTGTACCCTTTTATGCCTGGATTGAATCCTAAGAATACACACTGCCTTGCTCTGGGAAAAAACTTTGTTCGATTATGTCCTAATGTGCTAGCATAGCACAGACATCCAAACACCTTAAGGTGAGACAAATCTGGAGGTGAGCCATACAGGACTGAATATGGAGTTTGGTTTTTAAGAGCAACAGTAGGCAATCGATTTATCAGGTAAACTGAGTGTAGAATGAAATCAGACCAAAACTTCAAGGGCAGACCAGATTGAAACTTCAAAGACCTTGCCACATTGAGAATGTGCTGGTGTTTTCTTTCCACCCTAGAATTCTGTTGTGGTGTCTCTACACAAGATGTTTGGTGTGTAATTCCATGGGAAGAATAAAAGGATGGAATGTGAAACTTAGAACCTTGGTATGATCTAACAGTCTTAACTCTTGCCCCAAACTGGTTTTGAATCATAATGCAAAAATCTTGTAACAATTGCCTAGCTTCACTCTTAAGTTTCATAAGATAGGCCCAAACACATCGTGACTTGTCATCAACAATGGTGAGAAAGTACTGAAAACCATTGTAACTAGTTACAGCCAAAGGACCCCAAATGTCTGCATGGATAAGATCAAAAACATGTTCTGCCATAGAAAGGCTTGAAGAAAAAGGAAAACGCTTTTGCTTAGCAAAGTGACAAACATCACAATGATGTATAAATTCTGTATCTATACTATGTATGGACTTCTGCAACTCTTTGGTTCGAAAGAAAGATGGATGGCCAAGTCTCCAATGCCATAAATCAAAAGTCTATGGTGTGAGATTTGGTGTCTTGATGGAATTGACAAGTATTGGTGAGTCTCCAGTGTAGCAAGTAAGTTGATAAAGACCCCTAATCTCGCGGGCAAAACCAATCCTCTTCTGGGTGAGTAAGTCCTGAATGTCACACAGATTGGATTTGAAAGTGAGTGTGACTGGTAGAGTCTTAGTAAGTCTACTGACTGAAATCAGATTAAAGGAAAAGGCTGGTACATACAGGACATCATGTAAGATGAGCCCTGATGACAGTTTAATGGTTCCAAATCGAGTGAGAGGTGTTTTAGAACCATTAGGAAGGGTAATGAAAGTGTTTTGGATAGGAGTATGTGAAATAAATGAACTCATTATGCATGTAACATGATCAGTGGCTTCTGTATCAAGGAACCACACATTCACAAGCTCTAATGGGTGCTTTAGATAGTATGTGCTCAAGGTGTATTTACCTGCAAAGTTTGGGCTTACAGAAACATGTCTTCCAACAGAGTTTACCATAGGCTGATTCTGTTGTGGCTGCATAGATGTAGTACCAGGAGATCCAAGTGATGTTGGAGATGGTGGAGAACTGAATTGGTTGATAAGCCTCTACAGTCTACTGAGATCTTCAGTGGACAACCTTATGTTGGTAAATCCATCTCCCACTTCAGATGCACTCTTTGTTTCAGGTTTAAGTAGAATACCACTCCCTTCACTCCCTTGAATCTGTCCTGCAAACCCAGATGACCTTCATTGCTCTTTGAGAGAGTTCTTTCTTTTCAGCTTATAACAGTCAGCTATGACATGGTTGTCCTTCTTACAATAGCGGCAGAAAAGACCTCCTTTGGTAGTCTCTTGTCCTTTTGACTGATCAGAAGCAAGCAATGCTACTGAGTCCACCTGGGAATCTGGAC